TGATAAGGCCTTAGAATTCGACTAGGATAAGGGTTTCTAAGACTTATCTTATGGTTACTTGGTGGGCAAGCAACTAGATAAGGATAAGGACTAAAACCCTAATCTTTACACCTATATAAACCCCCTAAGGCTCATGAATTCGTGTATCCCTTCCCAAGAGGTCCTAGAGACGAATTCTTATACCTCTCCTCTCTCTTTATAACTTCTCCATTTGCTCTTGGTGTTTGTAAGCCATTAGAGGAGTGACACTTGTGACTCTAAGCCTTCCAAAGTCAATTCAAGGAGGAATTAGGATTGTTATTGCTACATAACAATCAAGGTAATTTCTTAAACCTAATTATATGTTAATATCGATTTCCATATGCTAGAATTAGGGTTTATAGTCTTGGATTCAAAGCATGTACAATAGAGAAACCTAGATCCAAGCTTTAGGGTTTGTATGAGCACATAGGATGTCTTATGACCAAAACCCATCAACCCTTCCTATTTCTTTTATTGGCTCTTATTTTCTTACTAATGGTATTCATTTACATGATGTTTTCGTGGTTCACAATCTCTCAAAAAATTTATTATCATTACTAAGTTGACATATGATAATGATGTGGACGTTCTTTTCTCTAGATCTTCTTGTTATATTCAGGATCGGGAAATGAAAAAGGTTCTAGCTTAAGAAAGGTGTAATCATGGCCTATATGTTCTTTCCAATCAACCGGTGGTGCGTGCGTTTTTTGCTAGACGTGGATCTAAAGCTTCATTTGAATTATGGCACTCTCGTTTGGGGCATGTGTCGTTTGACACTCTTTTTTACTTTAAATAAACTTGGTCACATTTTTGTTTCTTCTATTTTGCCTAAGCCGATTATATGTTCACCGTGCCAACTTTTGAAGTCGTACTGATTACCTTTTAATAATAATGATAAACGTGCCACTTGTATGTTGAATTTGGTGCATTGTGATCTTTAGGGACCCTCTCCGATTACTTCTGTTGATTCGTACCGGTATTTTGTTACATTTGTTGATGATTTCTATCGGTTTACGTGGCTTTATCTGCTTAAAAACAAATTCGACTTTTATATTGTTTTTGAGATGTTTATAACCTTTATGGAGAATCAATTTTCCTCTAAAATTAAAACTTTTCGAAGTGACGACTGTACATAATTTGTAAACAATCATGTTAAAACATTATTACAAGAACACAAGACTTTTTATTAAATATCATGCCCCTATACACCCCAACAAAATGGTCGGGTTAAGCGAAAACATCGTCACATTGTGAAAACCGGCTGCCATGATATTTCATGCTCACATTCCGACTCAATATTGGGTTCATGCTCACATCTCGTTCGAGATATTATTTAATCGGATCCCTACTTATGCCATTTTTCATTCGTTTGGGTGCTAGGTCTATCCGTATCTTCGTGATTACTCAGCTCACAAGTTGTCTCCTTGAAGCATCCCATGTATATTTGTTGGGTATCATTCTCAATACAAAGGCTATCAATGCCTTGACCCGGTTACGTCTCATATTTTTTTATTTCCCAACATACTCGCTTTGATGAGCTCAATTTTCCCCTTGGTGGTTCCTCTACGGCGGCTCCTCTTGCCTCACGCTCATTACAAGAATTTATTGCGGATGTTTCAATCACCCCGATCCTATCCTCAATTCCTATTGATAAACCGATTCCACATGCGACCTCCATAACCCCCTTGTGTTGTCTGCGCTAATCCTGCTCCGCCCATGCCATCAGTTCCAACTGTCTCGGTGCCTGAGCTGACTCTCGATTCTGCACCTGCTACCGATCGGAACCCGATCCTGATACCATAACCAATCCCACGTCCGATACACCTGTTATTGATTCCAATACAAACTCGCCTGATGTGGGAATTCCTTCGGCACCCGACCATGCTTCCACCCATGCTCTATCTCATCCGATGATCACTCGGGGAAAGCCGAAATATTTAAACCTCGCTATTGGGTTGATCTCATGCATGTTGCGCCTCGTGGCCTTTTGTCTGTTGTTCTCATTTCTCTGGAGTCTGTCACCTATTTCGATGCCATGCGTGATCCTAAGTGGCATGAAGCTATGCGCTATGAAATGCATGATTTACATCATAATCAAACATGGACCTTGGTATTGCGTTCTTCTTGTTCGAATGTTATTGGGTGCTGTTGGTTGTTTTGCACTAAATATTGGTCCGATGGTTCTATTGATGCTATAAGGCTCGGCTTGAGGCTCAAGGTTTTAGTCAAGTTTCGGGTCTTGACTACTCTCACACTTTCAATCCGGTTGTCAAAGCTGCAACGGTTCACGTTGTCCTCACTCTTTCCATCAATAATGGGTGGTCCTTACTCCAACTTGATGTCAACAAAGCATTTTTACACGACACACTTGGGGATACGGTATTTATGCACCCACCGCCTGATTTTGTCGACACTCGGTTCCCGGATCATCTTTGCAAACCTAACAACAAGCCACTTAGGCTTGGTTTCATCGCTTGAGTTCTTTTCTGGTGGCCAACGGTTTTTCTTGTAGTCGGACATATCCATCTCCTTTTATCTTTCGCCGTGATCAGTGCATTCTTTACTTATTGGTGTATGTGGATGATCTAATCCTCACCGGGTCCGACACCTCCATTATGACTATGTTTATTAATAAGCTTCACGTTGAGTTCCGCATTAAAGATCTTGGGCAGTTGAACTATTTCCTTGGGCTTGAGGCGTCTCCCTTACCAAACGTTCTGTTTCTTAGTCATGCTAAATATGCTCATATATTGTTTCACGTGCAGGGTCTCATTGATGCGAAGCCTATGACCACCCCTTGCTACGAATACCTTGTTTGTGAGTTGTGGTCCTCTCTACAAGGACCCTACTTATTATCGTTCATTAATTGGCACACTTCAATATTTGAGAATTACACTGCCGAATATTTCTCACGTTGTCAATCAAGTCAGTCAATTCCTTGCCGCCCTGATTGTTGCTCACTTCCAATCCGTGAAAACGACTAATTCGATATGTCAAAGGCACTCTCACTCATGGTCTCACCTTCTCGCATCCACCGTCTACTACCATTGTTGCTTATTTTGATTCTGATTGGGCTCTTTGCCTTGATACTTGCCGCTCTATCTTTGGGTACTCGATATTCTTGCAGGGTATCCTGGAGTGCTAAGAAGCAGCCTACGGTTTCTCGCTCCAGTTGTGAATCTGAATATCGAGCCATGGCCAACACCGCTGTTGAACTCATGTGACTCACACATCTCCTTCGTGAATTGCATGCTTTGCTATCCGATCGACCTACTCTTCTTTGCGACAACCAAAGTGCATTATTCCTCACTCACAATCCGGTTGCTCATAAACGCGCCACACACATTGATCTTGATTACCACTTTGTTCGTGAACTTGTGGCTTTCGGTAAACTCATCACTATGTTCATTCCAATCAAACTTCAGGTAGCGGACATTTTTACGAAGAGTCTTCCTCAAGAACAATTTGAGCAGTTCCGTCGCATGCAGCGTCTTGGTTCGCCACCTTCCGATTGAAGGGGAATATTAGACTAACATAGTTTATTGTACTCTTATTGTTTTACTTATTCTCTAGGGTGTTTGTTGTAAATTTTATATCTATATAATGGAAGTAACCCCCAATGACATGTAGATTAATTAATAATCTCAATTTCAGGTATAAAAAGAGAAATTTTTTGAAAAAAAAAGCTCTAGAATATGAACAATAATCCGAAATTAAGCATTCCAGAGGAAGTAGTTATTTTTCAAAAACTTAAAAACAATGATTATTTTCTTTTAAAAAACCATTTATATTGGTTAGATTTCTTAATTTCTCCGTATTTTAATTTGTATTTTAACTTGTACTAAGATCAAGATTAGGAGTTGCTTATAACTTATAAGATAACAATTACATTTTAAAGGCCACATATTGTTCGGTTATATTTGAACTTTGTGATCGACAATTACCTTGCTTTTCTAAACAAAAAAAAAAAAAACTTTATTTTAGACTTTAGATTTAAAACCTTTTAAAAACAAATTGATTTTATAATTCATTTTTTAAACTAACGTAGCGAGGGTGTTTCAAGTTTTTCATGAAGACAAAATTAGTACAAAACAAGATACAACTCTTGATGATCAAGGCATAATTCATAAACTATGGGAAAATGACTTAAAATGACAACGAAGTTTCCAAACCGTTTAAAAAACCTCAATCATGTTTTTTCTGTTTAAAAAAACCCAACAAACTTAACATTTTATCTAAAAAGCTCAACTAAGTTACACTTTCTCGAAAGTCAAATAAGAGAAACAGATGACATGACTTATTACCGTATCGGAAAAATGACTTGTTAGACCAACGAAGTTTCCAAAATGTTTAAAAAACTCCAATCATGTTTTGACTGTTAAAAAAAACCCAACGAACTTAAACAAAACAAAATTGGAATTTTCTGAACGGTTTGAAATTTTGTTGGACTTTTTAGACAAAAGGTTAAGTTCGTTGGGTTTTTTTGAACAGACAAAACATGATTGAGGTTTTTTGAAAGGTTTCGAAACTTCGTTGGGCTTTTAAATCATTTTCCTCGTAAACTATCGCACCTCACAAATAACGATGATAGTTAGATGCAATTATTGGCAAAAAAAAAAACCGTCCAGTTGATATGGGCCAAGGAGTTGATGATAGTCTTATTCACTCTATTGGGAAAACCATAAAAAGTGGTTGAGTGTGTTTACTTGGACTACTTTTCTTACATCATACACGAATTGATGAGATAAGATTGAGCTATACTACAAGGGACTAAATAAAGTTATAAACTTTGGATCAAAGGAATATTGGTTCCATCAATATATTAATAGTAACGTAATTTGGAAAAATATTGATAATTTAAATATTTAACAAATGTTAAAATACTGTATAAAATACAACATGAGAAAAGACACTCATCCGACACACGACTAAAATATAGACGACTTCCGCAAGACTTCTGCAAGTATTACACATTCCAGTCTCTCTCTCTCTCTCTCTCTCTCTCTCTCTCTCTCTCTATACAGGAATGCTGTAAGTAAACGCTGTTCTAGTTAGATTCAAGTAAACGCCCATAAAATTTCTACATATACTGATCTAGATGGTTATCGTTGCATAAGAAATTTGCAAAAAGGAAGCATTTGGGGTTTAATTCATTATAAAAATGCCGGTGAAAACTGGCGTTGTGCTATTGATCGTTTTGTTGGTGGCGGGTACGGTTGCTTCGGTGGCGTATGGTGGCGGAGGTGAACATTCGACGACGGTTCTAACTTTGGTGAGGGCTTTTCCGGCGAACAAGACGGTTGAGCTGGAAATCCTTAAAGCACGTGACCGTGTCAGACACGCCCGAATCCTGCAAGGCTTCGCCGGCGGCGTTGTCGACTTCACCGTCTCCGGTACCTCTGATCCTTACTACGGCGGGTAATTTAATCAAATCCCAAAAAGGAAATTCTTCCGGTTATCATAATTTCATATCAACTTTTTCTTTAAAAAAATACAACTAAAGCGGCTTAAAACATTTCACTTTTATGTTTGTCAGTGTTTTATGCTTTCGTAATCCCTCCTTCTAGACTTGAATTCAGCACATTTTGACCCTAGATTTCCCCTCTCTGTCTGTGTTTACTGTACCTTTTTGTGATTTTAATCACTTTTCAGTTATTTATTCGATGAAACTTTGTCGTTCTTTGTTCTTGGGTCAATCCGTATGATGTGTTCGTTTGTTTGTTTCTCATTCTCTGTACCAAATTATTCCCACCAAGTTTGATTTCCAAAATTCACCATTTTTGGGCAAATTTCATTGGTCTTGCATTAAATAGCATACTGTAAGGTCACCCCTTTCGATATGCCCATATCATAAATTCTTAATTTTGCAGGTTGTACTTCACAAAAGTGAAATTAGGGTCTCCACCAAGAGAATTCAATGTGCAGATTGATACCGGAAGCGACATCTTATGGGTTACCTGCAGTTCTTGCACTGATTGTCCGGAATTGAGTGGATTTGGTGTACGTTTCCATTTCTAGCTCTTCTAAAAATCGCTTAATTTCATCACAACACTTACTAAATGCTAATTCACCTTGTTTCCAATTTCAGATTCCCCTCAATTTCTTCGATTCTACAACATCTTCAACTGCTTCTCTGGTGTCATGTTCAGACTCCATATGTTCTTCCAATTTCAAAACTGCCGATACATCATGTTCAGATCAAACCGATCAATGTGGTTACCAGTTTCATTACGCAGACGATAGCGGGACATCTGGTCATTACATTACAGATTTTCTACATTTTGACACAGTTGTCGACCCTTCCACCATTACCAATTCATCAGCTTCTATTACATTTGGGTGCGCTTTTTTGCAAGATTCAATTTTTATACATTCAATGTTGATCAATTTTCCAACAATTAGGTTTTTTTCTTTTGGTGACAGGTGTAGTACGTATCAATCTGGTGGCTTAACGAAATCAGATAAAGCAATGGATGGAATTTTCGGATTTGGGCAACACGATCTATCTGTTGTATCACAATTATCTGCTCAAGGAATTACACCAAAAGTATTCTCCCATTGCTTACGTGGAGATGGAGCTGGTGGGGGCAAACTTGTTCTTGGTGAGATTTTGGCTCCGACCATGGTTTATAGTCCCCTTGTCCCATCACAGTACGTATTATTATTTGCTTAAATTACTTAATTACCATCAAATTGCATGAGGGGGTAGAGTCAAATGAAGGGCATTTAAGTCATTTTCATCTTTCAATGGCAATGTAAAGTTGTAAATAAAACTAGTTGGTCAAAAGTGTCACAGATACCATGGTTGCGAAAAGAAAAGAAGAAAACGCAAGAGGGGTAATATTGTAATTTTGTTATTTTTCAGGCCTCATTATAATCTTGATCTTCAAAGCATTGTGGTTGGTGAGCAGTTGTTGGCTATTGATCCAACGGTTTTTGTGACATCTGACAATCAAGGAACCATTGTTGATACGGGAACAACATTGACATATCTTGTCCCACAAGCATTTGATCCTTTTGTTGATGCGGTTAGTTTTTCTTTCAAATTACTATAAATTTCTTCTCGCATATTTTTTTAATAATGCACATGAGGAGGGCATTTTTGTCTTTTACACATACAAGAGATCGTGAGTGAATCCCAGTCCCATCTTTTTGGGTGAAACAAAAAATTGCAATTTTTGTTTCATTGACACCACATCAAAGTTCAAACACAGTACAATCTGTTCTGTCATGTCTAACTTATTGACTGCAGATTACAGCTGTTGTGTCAGAGTTAGCAACTCCGGTCCTTTTAAATGGAGGTCAATGTTATTTAATGGCGTCGAGGTAGTTTCCAAACATTTATTTATTATTCTTCTTTTAAATGGTTAATCTACTTTTCCATTTGAGACATATAAGTAATTATTTTTTATTTTATTATTTTTTTATACAGTACAACCGAGATATTTCCCAAGGTTTCCTTAAACTTTGCAGGCAGTGCATCCATGATTCTAAAACCTGAAAACTACCTTGTGCCAGGAGACCCTATTGTGAGTTTATATTTTTGTTACAAAATAAATGCAATATGTATTTTATTTTCTGCGAAATTTCATGATTTAGATTATTTTAGATATGGTTAAATGAAAGAAATAGCAATGTACCTCCATTGATTTATTTATTATAACATTCTACTTTCATTTCTGTATATTAAGCCTTGAAAAATCTACTGAATTTCTACCACTATAATTTGGTAAAATATTCAAAATATTGTGTCCTAATAAGAAAAAGGAAAATTACAAGGCTATAATAGTTGATATGAAAAAGTGAAAGTACAATGTTGTAATGGTTGAATGGATTTTCTACAGGATGGTGGTATTCCGCAGTGCATTGCCTTTCAAAAAGCGAGCAACGGGATAACAGTTCTTGGAGGTCGGTTAACATATAGCAATGAAATGACTATTTTACCCTTGAAGCCTGACAAATCTAATTTATATTTAATTTATATCGTATGATGTATTGATATAATGCAGATCTTGTTCTAAAAGATAAGATCTTTGTTTATGATTTATCGAGGAACCGAATCGGATGGACGGATTACGACTGTAAGCATATGATTATCATCCCTTTTATGAAATTACTGTTTTACCCTTGAGGCTTAATAACTTTCATTTAGGTGGTTTTAATTTATAAACTTATTTGGTATGTCTTTGTGTTCAGGTTCGGCTGATGTAAATGTCTCAATAAAGTCCAACAAAAACGAGTACATGAATGCAGCACAGTGGAGTGCGGGCATTTTGTTAGGGTTTACAAGTCTTGAAGCTCTTTTGGTGCATATATTAGTAGGGTCATTTTGGTCTTTTTTATTATGGTGACATGAAACCTAGTAGTTTGGGAAATAGTTTCTATTAATTTTTTGTTTCACATGTCCATTCGGTTGGCTGGTTTTTATTCAGGTGATCGGCTAGCCTCCATTTTGCTCCTTAGGGACAACTTTTAATTTGGCTCATTTGGGCGACTTAGAGGCTTAAATTTTATATTTAATCTTTTCTTGAATGGAATGAATTTGTAAGAAAAGAGTAATATTTACATAATTTTTTTTTGTCTAATTTAATGCTATCTAAGGTATTGTAGTTGTTTCTGTTGTTTTATGATAGATAATTTGATTAAAACTAAACTAAAAAAAATGTAGTTGTGTCAACAGATATTTTCAGTTGTGATTTTGATTCATCCATTTAAATGCAAGGTGTTTTGACTTGACTTGATTTGATTTTTTCTTTAATTAAATTAGTGGTATAATAGTCAAAACATTTTGTTTTTAAGCGAATAAACCAAAACCATAGAAATATCGTACCCCATTAAAAAAAATACAGAAACAATGCATATATAATTTACTCAAAATGTTTACCACGCGCCGCTTAGTCGAGAGTGAGGGGATTTAGCGCATATCGGAATTCAGAAACGATAACCAGCAAATCCCATGCAAAATCCATAACAATTATAAACAAAATATATTATATTTATTAAAATTAAATTTAATTAATAAACATCCCCTAAAAAACGCTTCATTTTAAGGAAATAAGTTTTCCTCTCTCCATATTTAGTCCCCAAATTTAATTCCGTCACCGAAACGCCACTTAGGTAGTTGGGTTTCCTCCATCTCTCTTTCTTTCTCTTTCTCTCCCATTCTCTCTTTCTCTCTAACGTTGTCTTCGGAAAATTTACAATTCTCCAGTGGGATTCAACAATGGCGGCCACACCACCACCATCTACGCCTTCGAAGACAACGCCACCACCGGCGTCGTTGTATGTAGGGGACTTGCATCCGCAGATCGACAATCTGCAACTTAGCGACGCCTTTTCCGAGTATAAGAGCATCACGTCTGTACGCGTTTGTAAAGACTCATCCACCGCTCGCTCTCTCTGTTACGGATACGTTAACTTTCTATCTCCTCAAGATGGTATGTTTATTCTATATATATCCGATCGATCATAAACAACATCGTTTAACGTTTTTACGTTGTTAATCATCTCAATTGCCTGATTTGTTTTCACAGCGGTTTTTGTTGATTTTTGAATTCAGAAATCTTTTGTTTGCGAGTGATAGTTTTTTCATTTATTGATCCTTGTTTGTGTTTTCGATTTGGATAAGTTTTGAGTGCGTTTTGTAACTTTTAGAATCCCAAAGAACGTTTCGTAGATTATGAAGAGAATTACAAATTAACTATATTTTATGTATCTTTTATGAATATGAAGTCGTCGGTCGACATTTGGATTATAAACAAGTGTATTGCAACATGCATGCATAACTCTAGAAAATCGTGAGAAATTAAGGCGTGTTTACTATCATCTGTGGGAGATTAATAATTGATGATAATTTTCATTTGTCTACAAACAATCCCTCGTTACATTGAAAGTGAGTGATTTTCTGATCGTGTGATTTGTGTGTTGATTTTTCTATTTTCACATACAAAGATCTTTATTATTGTTTTTAACACCATTCTAAATATATCTCGATCGATATGTAATTGACTTATTAATAACATGAATGCAAAACTGTTATGGTTGCATGGAGTGCATTAATTGTTTGGGATATTGGTAAGTACTTCGATTATACATAGAAATATGAATAATAGTTATAAATGATCTTTTGCATGTATTGTAACCCTTTTTTCTTATAAAGTAGTTCGATCACTTAGTACCATTTACTGATTTTGAATGTTTGATGTCATTTAACTTGGGCAGCTATGCATGCTATCGAGTCCAAAAACAACACCATGTTGTATGGAAAAATGATAAGGGTAACATGGTCCCACCGTGATCCTGATGTGAGAAGAAGTGGCATTGGCAACGTGTTTGTAAAGGTAATTATGAGCAGTATTTTTGTTAATTAATTATATGTTTGGTGTTTTGTATTTAATTAATCAATCTTGTATTTGGTTTGCAGAATTTAAATGAGTCGGTTGATAATGTACAACTTCAAGAAATGTTCAAATCATTTGGTAATATATTGTCTTGTAAAGTGGTTACACATGAAGATGGTAAGAGCAAAGGGTACGGATTTGTTCAGTTTGATTCCGTGGAATGTGCAAATGTTGCTATTGAGAAACTTAATGGCACTAGTATTGGAGGCAAACAGATGTATGTCTAATTCTAATTAATCAACCCCAATACTTTGCATTACATTTGGAATTTGAAAATGCATTATTAGTTCTTGATCACAATAAAGTATTTAATTTATTTATTTTCCATTACTTGTCATAGATATGTAGGGAAGTTTGTGAAGAAAAGTGATCGAATATTACCTACTCCTGATGCTAAGTACACAAATCTATACATCAAGAATCTAGATTTGGATATTTCAGAAGACATTCTTGATCAAACTTTCTCAAAATTTGGAAAAATTGTGAGCTTGGTTATATCAAGAGATGACAATGGTGTTTCAAGGGGCTTTGGTTTTGTGAACTTTGAAAATCCAGATGATGCTAAGAAGGCTGTGGAAGATATGAACGGGATGAATCTTGGTATATATGATTATGTTTGTGGGTGTTTGTTTGTTTTTATAGGCAATTGCTAGCGTTATTTTAGCCAGAGGTATTTGTTGTGTGTTCAGGTTCAAAGGCTTTATATGTTGCGAGGGCTCAGAAGAAAGCAGAAAGAGAACAAATTTTGAGGCGTCAGTTTGAGGATATGAGGAAAGAACAAATAGCAAAATATCAGGTATGAATAGTTACAAATTTGATTTAGTTGTTAGTGCATCCCCAATGCATGATTAATAAGAGTTGAATGAAGGAGAGAAAGGGATGATGTTGATATGAATAAATGGGAGAGTTAGCATCTCCATGGCACTTTACCATTTGTCATTCCACATCATCAACTTATATTAATTAATATAAGACTCAGTTACAGTATTGCTCCTTGTGGTTGATACCCATATGCAGTTTTAGTCAAACTTTTGAATTTGTGACATGGTTCATTCCAATGGTTTCCAAAAATTTGACATGTGGGTCATGACATTATTTGTAACCTAAGGATCATTTTTATACGTTATTGAAAACAACAAAAAGAACCTTCCAACCCATTGATAGATACCTCAAACGCCTAATTACTCTTCTTTCCTCTCTTGGCATCTCCATTTGCCATATAAATACCGCCCTATACTCGCGAAACGACTACTCTCTCTCTCTCTCTCTCTCTCTCTCTCTCCAATACCATGGAATCCACTTCTTCCTCTCCCTTACACCTCCGGCCACAACGACATGCTTCCTCTATCATTTGTTCATTTTGATTTATTTTAAGGTATGATTTTAAATTAGTGTTGTTGGTGTGTGATGGGTTTGGGTTTTCATTCGATCTCATACAATTTTTTTTTTATAAAAGATGGTTTTTGAGCCTAAAATGGAGACAAGATAATTAAGTAAATGCTGGAAAAAAGAACTCATAAAAAATGATAAAAAAGTTATGAAGGTATTTCAATTCCAGTTTCGTAATAGTACCTGATACTTGTATAGTCATACCTCATACCTGTAAGAAACACAAGGATCGAACAAAATTGCATAACCGATTTCCATGTGGTTCTAGTTACGTTTGGTTCAAACATTTATTTTGCTTACTCCATATATACCTTAAAATTCTTGCATAGTGGATGCTCTAATGCCATTGGATGTGAAAATAAGACATCATTATTAATCAAATGGACTTTATCACTTTGATTTCAGTTAATAGCATCATCATATTAAAAGTCTGTTCAATTAATAGCATCATATCCAATAGTTAATCTATACTATCATTTAAAAATTATTGTTATCTCATCATTTCACTAACTTTTACCTATTATGAAATCTCTTGAATGGTTACATCTTCCAATATTTTTATTTTTATTTTATCTAATCTATTTTTATCTATTTAAAATGGTCTATAAATCTCTTATATTTATTTAGTCATTTTTAACAAACCTCATATTTTATAAACATTGAATGTTGCAAACATGCGAAAATAAAAATAAAAGTATACCTAGTCTTTATTTTTTAAAAGTAAAATAGGAAAATTTTAATGCATCATAAGTATAAAAAAAACTAAAGATTGAAAATATTATATAATAATTATAAATTTCATTTCAAAAATAAAATAATATTAAAAGATAAGGGGAGTTAAACATAGTAAACACTAAAATATAACCATTCAATACATATTGAGTTGTCAATAGAAACAAAACAAATAAGCTATTAATTATAATGATAATAAGTTAAACAAATAAACTATAAAATAAGCTCTTTCTAAGCACAGACTAAATAAAACAAAACCTCAGAGTACAAACTAAATAAAACAAAACCTCAAAGTAAACAAGAAAATATAACCATTCACTACATATTGAGTTGTCAATAGAAACAAAACAAATAAGCTACTAATTATAATGATAATAAGTTAAACAAATAAACTATAAAATAAGATAAACCTTTTTCTTACCAAGATTATTTAAAGATCACATTTGTCTATATTTATTAATGTGTTTGGCTACCGATTGCTTGAAGAAAATAATAAAAAAATTAAATAAATAAAGTTCACAATGATTAAGGACTTGTTCGACATAGAACGTTTGTGAGCATTTAGGAGTTTCTAGCATTTAACAAAATGCTTGGTTTTGAACAAAAAGTTTCGTTTGGCACACCAAGCTTTTAGGGATTAGTTTAAACAGAATGCTCTAAATTTAAAAACTACTACAAATAGTGTTTAACAAAACTCTTTCAGATACCAACTAGTTTTTCCTGAACATGCCCTAAATGATTGATTAAGAGGTTAGATGGCAAACCAATTTTTACAACCTGATTGCCTAGACATGAGGCAGATTATGAATGGTCATGTTTTTCCCCCTTTTTTTTTTTTTTTTTTTTTTCAGTTATAATAACTATTTGTTAGATAATGTGTTTATTGAAAACATATAATAAATATGATACGTTCCCAGGTAAACCTAAGAACTTAGCCTACTATTCGAGCCACAAGAAACTCCTAAAACGCCACGAGGCTTCTTTTATTTAGATAATTCAAACAAAATGTATGGAGCACCATTTATAGTGTCCTGCTAAACAATAACCCTAAAATAACTCAAACAGCTAGCAATGCAATCCTATAAATGATAAAGATAGAATTTAAAACATAATTATCCTATTCTAAATTATTCTTGTTGCGCCTTTGATAGACTTGATCAAACCTATCGGTTTGGGTCATAATATTACTCCCCTCTTAAACAATCACCTTGTCCTCAAGGTGAAAAGCCAGAAACTGTTGTTGTATCACGTTAAACAAACAATTCCCATATAGCCTTATAAGTTGGTAAGTCCTTCAACCCGATCAAAACCTCCCGCCCAGATGCCCCGTCACGGACCCCCTCCACCCGCTCTGGCTGCAACAAAATTTCCATATCTGTGGTCATAGTAGCAGGTAAGCTGGGAAGATCCAATTGATTCTCAATAGCCTTCTTCAATTGAGAAATGTGCAAAACATCATGTATTCTCGATGATTCTGGTAGCTTCAAGCGATAAGCCACCTTACCAATTCTTTCCAACACCTCAAAGGGACCAAAATAATAGGACGATAACTTCTTATTCACCCGACGGGCCACCGAATGTTGCCTATATGACTGTAGCTTAAGAAAAACTCTATCCCTAACTGAAAACTCCTCATCTTTGCGATGCAAGTCAGCCTTAATCTTCATCAGTTGTTGAGCACGCAACAAATACCCTTTTAGATCCCATTAAACGATATCCCGTTCCTCCAAATACTCATCCACAATACTCACCGAAGTATGTTGGCTGCCATAGTAAACCAAGTGGGGTGGATCTCGACCATACATAATCCAGAATGGAGTGGTGTTTGTTGAAGTGTGAAAATATGAATTGTACCAGAAATCTGCCCAAGATAGCCACTTAGCTTGCGAACGAAAAATTTCACGCCAAAAAAGACTTAAAAAAACTTTTTCTTGATCTAAAACAATGGATTCCAGCATGTCATGCAAACAAACAACCTACCTTAAAAAACCGAAGCCACTGAGAGAGGTGTTTTAGCGGAATAAAATGGGCGTATTTACTTAACCGATCTAAAACCACAAAAATAACGGAATACCCTTCTGACTTAGGAAGGCCTTTAATGACATCCACAGTAATTTCTAACCAAAATTTATTTGGTCATTCAAGAGGCTGCAACAACCCGCTAGGCTCCATGGTGGAATATTTCTGACGTTGACAAATATCGTATTGTGCGACCATCCTGGCTATGTCTCCTTTATCCTGCACCAAAGAAGCTCTGTAGACATTTGAAAATATGTTTTTTGGACTCCCGAATTCCCTCCCATCGAGCTTCCATTAAACTCGTGAAAAAACGTAGGAACCCACGACGAGTTGCGGTTCAAAACCAACCGACCCTTAAACAACAGTCGGTTGTTTTCAACTGAAAACCTAGTTGGTACCTGTGCTTACCAGTACTAACACGATGTCTGAGCTCGAGTAACTCAGTATCATTTTCAGTTTACTGCCACAGCCTTCCCCAATCAATCTTGCAACCCGTATCTAGTGCTTCAAATTCCACCTCACGTTTTCTTGACAATGCGTCCACTGCATTGTTGTCTCAGGCCAGTCGGTACTCGACGTCAAAATTATAGCCCAAGAGTTTGGATAACCACTTCTGATGATCTTCAGCCACGACCTGTTGCTCAAGCAAAAATTTTAAACTCCGTTGATCGGTTCGAACTACAAACCGTCGTCCTAGCAAGTATGGTCTCCATTTTTCGGATCGCAAAAACGATCGCCATTAATTTGCATTCGTACACTGACTTCAAACAAGCCCTAGTGCCCAAAGCTTGAATATAATAGGCAATTAGACGAGCATCCTGCCAATCCAAATCCCGACGCATCGGTTTCCACCACAAATGTCTTATCAAAATCCGGTAACGCCATCACAGGAACTTGAGTCATGACGGCTTTTAATTGTTAAAAATCCTATGAAGCCTCATTATTCCAATGAAAATTATATTTCTTGAGTTGCTCCGTGACAGGCCAAGCAATCTTTCCATAGTCTTTTACAAACTTGTAGTAGTAGCCCGTCAGTCCTAAGTACCCACATAATTCTTGCAGTGTTTTTGGTTTTATCCATTGCAACATAGCTTCAATTTTTGTTGGATCAGCCGATACGCCCTATGCGGACACCAAGTGACCTAAATACTAGATTTGATTTTGAGCAAACGAGCATTTTTTTAGGTTTGCAAAAAGTTTATTTTTTGCATTTCTTGTAGTACAGTCGATAAGCTCTCCATATGCTTGACCCTAGTTTTGCTATAAACCAGAATGTCGTTGAAGAAAGCAAGCACAAAACGACGTAAAAGCCTAAAAGCCGTTTTCGGAACATCTTCTTCTTTCATTCATATTTGATGATAACCAGACTTTAAGTCTAATAATACGTTCCCAAGTAAACCTAAGAACTTAGCTTGCTATTCGAGCCATAGGAAACTCCTAAAATCCACAAGGCTTATTTTATTCAGGCAATTCAAACAAAATCTATGGAGCACCATTTATAGTGTCCTGCTAACAATAATAGTAAAATCACCTAAACAGCTAGCAATGCAATCCTATAAAGATAAAGACAAAATTTAAAACATAATTATCCTATTCTAAATTATTCATGCGCCTTTGATAGACTTGACCAAACCTACCAATTTGGGTCGTAAAAAA